AAAATCTGACATTATTTTACGTGCACTAAGTAAATGAACAAGATAACATTTCCTTTCTGCCAGCAGCAATTCATCCTATCAGCAGAGTGCAGTTTGTTAATATGTAAATTCATGTACATGTTTAACTTCTATACTTGTTTCACCACGAGGCAAAGAGAAACTCTTCTTCTCACATCATTTTAGCTTCTTGGAAGAAAGAGAGAAGACAAATCACAGAGATGTCTTTCTTGCAGATCAGCTCCAATGTACAGAAAATGAAGCAGCTGGAGTCTTCAGCCCTGGTCAGAACAACAAACAAGATTCAAAATGAGCTCAGACAGGTAAAGGCAAATGATTAATGTGACATGTTAGCAAAAATCTGCTTTTATATACATTATGTATTATTGAACATGCATCAGGATAGTATGTATAACTGTTTTAAGTCATCTGTTTACAGGGAGTGGTAAAGCCCTATAAGGAGGTTATAAATGTGTGCTGGGGTGACCCTCACATGGCAGGTGTGAAGCCTCTATCATTTGTCAGACAGGTAATGCATGATCCCCACCAGACTCTACAGAGTTGTTGACTTTGCTGTTTGTTTTCACAAACAAATCTTATTTTCCAACAGGTTCTTGCAGCGTGTCTTTACCCTCAGCTTTTGGAGGGTGACAAACTGCTGGTGGATGTCAAACAGAGGGCTCAGAGGCTGCTGAAGACATGTGTTGGAGGGAGTGTAGGTAAGAAATAGTTAACTTGAAGCATTAAACATGTTGATTTATATATATATAAAAAGTTAGAAATTATCCCAATTGGGCAAAACACATTAAAGCTGCCTACAGGTTTTTTGGGATTATTTAACAAAAAAATCCAAAATTTAATTTGGAGTCTTTAAACTGGACAATATAGCTGCTTCTATATAGTGTAAATGTGATATATTATGTGTTTTTCAGACAGCAGGGTACATCTGTTATACAATAGTTGCAAAAATGTGAGAATCCCCAGGACAGTATTTTGATGAATACATTTTTAGATTATTTTTATTTTTTTTTATTTTTTTCATTTAGCCTTTATTTATCCAGGTTAGTCTCATTGAGCCACGAGAACTCATTTTCAAGAGAGACCTGTTTAGGGAGCACATGGTGGGGGTTAAGGGCCTTGCTCATGGGCCCAGAGTGGGGCGAATGAGGGTGGGGGCAAGTGTGGGTGTTTCACCTACCCCACACACAATTTTGATGTTGTCGGGGCCGGGGCGTGAACCGGCGATCTTCGGATCACAAGCCCACCTCTCTAACCTCTGCGCCACCACTCCCCGAATGTCGTTGGCAAAATCTTCACCTTTTAAAATATTCTGGTTTTGGGTTTAGGTTTTGGGTAGGGACAGTACTACTTCTTTATTTTTTTTTTATTTAAAAAAAAGAGCAATGTTTCCACTTTCTACAACACAAGCTTAAAACATTATCAATAATCCATCCTGCTATTTAATCATTGCTGAAGTGCTCAAGAAATTCTATGTTTAGTCATGAAATGTTACCCATTGCATTCAAAATGTTACATTTTAATTTCATATGTTTAGAAATCTTGCTTCAAAATACTTTGTAGTATCAGGTTTTCAGAATGGATCTATATATTTATTTATTTTATTTATTGTCTTGGAGCAGGTAATGTCCAACATGAAACCATCTGGTTCCCCCTTTGATATTGTTCCCCCTTGACTCCTAAAGGAGGTCTTTCCTAGTCTGGTACTCTCTATTCTCTCTATTGTCAAAAGCAGATTAACTTCAGGTGTGGTGCCAAAAACTTTTAATTATGCTGCTGTTCAACCTCTGGTGAAAAAAATATAACTGTGACCCCTCAGTGGTGTCCAACTTCAGGCCTGTCTCCAGACTCCCATTTGTTTCAAAACTTTTGGAAAAGATAGTTGAGGCCCAGTTAAAATGTTTCCTAGAGGTTCACTCTATTTTAGAGATATTCCAATCTGGCTTTAAGTCTCTCCACAGCATTGAAACTGCTCTATTGAAGGTTTTTAATGACATTTTTATAGCCACAGATGCAGGTGATTATGTGCTTCTATTGGGCCTTACATCTGCTTTTGACACCATCGACCACAAGATCCTCATTCAAGGCTGGAACAGTGGGTGGGCATCACAAAGTCAGCCCTCAAATGGTTGATCCTACCTCTCTGACAGAATATTTTGTGTCAACATTGGCAACTCTTCTGTGGGAGATACCGCAGGAGTCCATCCTCGGTCCTCTTCTCTTTATACCTGCTGCCACTATAGGTGCTATTTTTCGTAAACATAACATAACCTTTCAATTCTACGCTGATGACTGTCAAATCTACTTCCCTCTGAAGCACACGAGTGCACATTCTATTCAACCTCTTCCTGACTGCCTAGATGGGTGTCTTTTAATTTCTTAAGCTTTAATGAGAAGAAGGCTGAAGTCATGTTGTTTCCTCCTAATGACACGATCAAGAACCACGGTATCGACCTATCCTCTCTAGCCCCGTTAGAGAAACAAAGAGAGACAAATCTGGGAGTGATAACGGATCCTTCCATGAAACTTAACAGTCATATAAACATGGTTGTTAAATCCTGTTTTGTTTTTCAGCTGAGGCAACTCTAAACTGAAGCCCATACTGTCCAAGAATAACCTTGAAACAGTAATACATGCGTTCATAACATCCAGGCTTGATTACTGCAATGCACTTCTGTTTGGAATCAGTCAGACCTCCATTGCACATTTACAACTGGTCCAAAATGCTGCTGCCCAATTTTTAACCAGGCAAAAGAGAGCATATTACATCAGTTTTGGCCTCCCTACACTGGCTCCTGGTTCACTTTCGAATTCAGTTTAAAATCCTTGTGCACGTTTTTAAATCACTGAACAGTTCTGCCCCTTTTATCTCACTGATCTGCTGCAGCCATATGTCTCACTGCGCTCTCTGAGGTCATTGAATCAAATGCTTCTTTCAGTTCAAGAAATCCGTCGTAAGCTCAGAGGTGCCAGGGCTTTTTCTGTTGCAGGTCCAAGACTGTGGAATGAGTTACCACTGCATGTCAGGCAGGCCCCTTCTCTCAATGTTTTTAAGTCTCACTTAAAAAAAACACTTTTATTCCCCGGCTTTTGACCCTGTGCGATTTGTTTTGTACCTGTCTGTATTCTACAGTGTTAGCCATGTAGTTATTGTCTTCTGCTAATTTGTATCTATATTTTTATTTTACTTCATTTTATGTTTCACTGTGTGCTTTGTTTGTTTGTTCTACTGTACAGTACTTTGGTTGACCTTGTTGCTGTTTTAATTGCTCTATAAATAAAGTGGTATGGTATTTATTTAAGCAATTATATGAACAGTTCTCTTAGAAATTTATCTCAGTTTTGCAGAAAGTGGTCTCTAAATTTTCTATTCTAGATCAGGGGCTAAAATGAACAATTCCTATGTTTGCTCAGAGCATATTTTTCTTCTTCTTCAGGTTCATACACTTCCACTGCAGGTATTCCAGAGATAGCTCAGAGAGTGTCTGAGTTCATACAGAAACGAGACGGTGGTGTTCCATCTTACCCTGAAAACATATACATCAGCCCCGGCTCCCAGTGGTCGCTCGCGGTAACATTACTGACACTCAGCCTAAAGCCTCTTCCTCCTGTTGCGTATCAACTCATTTTGTCATTTACTGAACTCGTTAGAAAATTCTGAACATCTTGGTGAATCCTGAGGCTTCACCCAGAACCGGAGTACTGACTCCAGTGCCATGCCACATCACCACTGTTTTGTCCATAACGGGGATGGGGGCGGTTGCCATTCCTTACCACCTGAATGAGGAGCAAGGCTGGACCCTGCAGGTGGAGGAGCTACAGCGAGCTCTGGAGGCTGCAAAGGGACTCTGTAACCCTGTTGCTTTGTATGTTATCAACCCAGGAAACCCAGCGGGTATAGCACAATCCAGTCAACATGGAAATAGTCTCAGTGGTGAATCTTTGTATTTTAAAAATGACCATTTTGTATTTTGTTTACACCTTGGTGCCATATAGGTCACGTTCAGAGCAGAAAGTCAATGGAAGAAGTGATCCACTTCGTTTCAGAGAAGAAACTCTTTCTTCTTGCTGATGAGGTGAACATCTCAGAGTTTTACCTTTTATCCAAACGTCATGAAACACAAACACCTTTCTGCATATCAACCAATGTTTTTTTTTGTGGTAATCCTCTTCAGGTGTATCAGGACTGTGTTTATGGGGAAAACGTTGAGTTTTTCTCCTATAAAAGGGTTCTGGCTGAGTTGGGGCCTCCTCTGTCAGACACTGTGGAACTGGCATCCTTCCACTCAGCATCCAAAGGCTTCATGGGGGAGTGAGTTTTATCTGAGCTGTGTCACCTTATGAACTGCTTTTAAGGCGATATAAATTGTTCCAGGCGGGAGTAATGATCATGTGATGCTACGAGCTTGAAAACAATTCATTGCGACTCTCCCACCAGGTGTGGTCTACGTGCTGGTTATGTTGAGCTTGTAAATGTCGACCCTGCTGTTATGAAACACATCTACACGTTTTTCTCCACCGATTCCTGCGCGCCCGTGTTGGGTCAGATCGCCCTGGAGGTGATGGTGAACCCTCCACAGCCAGGAGACCCCTCATATCTGATTTATAACAAGGTGAGACATGATAGTCTTCCAACAATGTTCAGTCAGGTCATCTGGATGGTTTCTTTTTTGCGCTGAGACGTTTCACCCTCCAGCCGAAAGGCTTCATCAATATGAGGAAACGCCAAACAAAACTGATTCTCCACTAACAGCCTACTCCAAAGCGGAAAAGAAGCAGTTACGTTGGTGCAAAGATGGCCTCTGGGCCCCATCCTCTCCTCCGGTGCCCGCCCTCTCCCTCATTGATAGCCATGTCAAACTGGTTCAAAACATCAAAGTCTCAGCGCAAACGTCTCAGCACAAAAAAAAAAGAAACCATCCAGATGACCTGACTGAACATTGTTGGATTTTATACCTGAATTATTGAGCATGGACAATGGCGATAACGACAATGTAACAAGACTAATTAACTTGTAAATGAGCAACTGAATTAGCAAATATTTTAAGTCGGTTCCATTTGTACAGGAGACGCAGCACATTAAGACCACCTTGAAGCAAAATGCAAGGAGAATCTTCGAGGTTATAAATAACTTGCAGGATTTCAGCTGCCAACCAGTGGAAGGAGCGTTTGCATTCCCCAGAATTTATCTTCCACCTAAAGCCATCCAGAGAGCCAAGGTTTCAGAATGAAGCACACATAAATGAGATTAGTAGGATATTAAATGTTCTTTTTTTTTTTTATAACAAGATGTTTTTGAATATTTAGGAAGCGGGAATGCAACCAGACACTTATTACTGTACGAGACTACTGGAGGAGGCAGGAGTGTTGCTTAGTCCTGGTTGTGAGTTTGGACAAAAAGAGGGCACATATCACATCAGGTAAGGCTCAAGATCTACTCCAAAAGAATGACTGACGCATCTACCGGTACAAGAAAAAAAAACATTTACCAAGATGTGGTTTTAAATAATTTAAATGCATGGAAATTTGGCTAACTTTTTGTTTTTGCTTCTGCAGATTATTCATCATGACCCCTCAGGACATCATGGTGGAATTACTGAAACGTTTGAGCACCTTTCATGTAAAGTTTATTAAGGAGTTTTCTTAAAATATAAAAAAAAGGAATAAAAACAGTTCTGTCAAAGCAGGAAAAAAAAAAACGGTTCTCTTGTTGGTCAGTACATGTTTATTTCAATAAATGACATTTACAGTCTATTTCAATGACATTTGTTTTTACTCTGTCAACAATTAAACACTGCTTTTTGAAAAGCAATTACTGGTAACCATTCAGTTAATGAAAAACAAAGTCCAAAATCCATAGCATAGACCCCCCCCACCCCAACTAAATGGAGTTTATAATTTACAAAGAAAAGGCAGAAGCCAACAGTTCACTTTGGACTTCAGCCCGACAGATTAAATTTAGATCAGAACATTAGCAGACTACTTAAAGTACTTTGAAACAGAAATCTTTTTTTCTGGATCCCCCAAGTGATCCATACAATTGCAGACCAGTTTTATTTTCAGTCCACCTCACTTTCTATGCTGCCTTTCTGAAAAAAAGGGTTTGACTCTGTACCATTGAGCAGCTCTACCAGTAAGGATATGAGCTTTCCATCTTGAGTGGTATTTGAGCCGATGGGATTGTTCAGGTTTCGGTACAGCATGGTCTGAATGGAGATGCGTAGCTCCCAAAGCAGCTCCCACGTCGCCACTGACAGCTCACAGCGCATCAGGGAGTATCCAGGAAATGATACCGCCACCTTGTCGCCGTTAACTGAGACACAAGATACAGAAACAATTCTGGCGTCACTCTCACACCCCACCACAAACACTTCAGTGTCCACCTGGACTCCTGCAGATACACTACCTGTCTCTATGATATCACAGTCTGTGAGGAGCAGCAGGGCGAGTGGATGGACTACAGAGGAGTCCCTGATGAAAACGATTCCATTAGACTTGACCGCACTGAAAAAGGTCAGCCAACGACTGGGGAGGTTCCTTTCTCCCCTGCAACACAAAGAAAGACTAAAGCTCACATGCATGTTATGCAGGTCAGAACAGAAACATTGTAGCAGAACGTCTGAACGTTTTAAAACCTGTTAACTGAAGAGCGATGAAGAACCACCGGCCCGCTGACTGTGCGGAGAACTACTTCGTTAGGACGAAAGCGTCCATCTTTGGTCACAGTACCTTTCTTCACCTAAAAACACATTGAAAAAATCAATAAACTTTTTTCAAAAAAAAACCTCATTGAAGGAGGCTGCCATGTACCTGAATGAGGTTCGGATACAGTCCAGCTAGCAGCACAGCTTTCAGCAGCTCATCCTGGCAGCTGTGCTCATTGTAGAGAGAAGTGGGACGTTGGCACTCGTTCCCCCGAGAAATCAGCCCTGCTTCCTGCAGGTTGTCACTGAACTGAGAAATGAGGCCTGCAAAAAAGAAAATACCAGGACTTACCCTACAACTGTACTAAAAAAAATGCATTTAAGTTGACACTATGTTTAAATGTGTGCGTGTGAGAGAGAGGGAGAATCAAACGAACCGTTGATGAATCGGAGACTGGTTTTGGACAGAGCGTAGTTGTCCACATATTGATCTCTGTGTTCTCTGTCTCCCTCCTGCTGGACTTTCCTCCAGCCCAGAACGGCTCTACTGAACACCAGATAGTCACTGTAGCTAGAGCCACTCAGGTTCTCCTTGGCCTGGACAGACACAGCACAGATGATTGAATAACAAAATATACGTTTAGGGAACCCAACAAAGTTCAGTCAGGTCATCTGGACAGTTTCTTTTTTGTTTAGACGTTTCATCCTTCATCCAAAAGGACTTCATCAATCCGAGGAGCCACAAACGCAGTACCACAAGCAGCACACTCGCATAGTGGGCAACTAGTTTGCTGGTTTTGTTTTGAACCACTTTGGCTATGGCTGCCTCAAAGCAGTCGACGAGGGAGAGGGCGGGCTCCAGAAACTCTTATCACCAGCCAGCTGGTTGGTTCACTATGTGAGAGTGCTGCTTGTGTGACCGAGTTTATTGTGGCTCCTTGGACTGGTGAAGTCCTTTGGATGAAGGATGAAACATAAAAAAAACCCCAAAAAACAAAAAACCATCCAGATGACCTGACTGAACTTTGTTGGATTTTTTTTTACCCCATTATTCAACATAAACTTTGAAGATATGTTTAGGGAAGACAAAACTTGAGAATTCCAGTCCAGTTTACAATTTAATTTTTTAGAGCCATTAGCTGAAGTAATTTTGGTACATAAATATACAAAAAGCCTGATGTGGTTAAAAACAAACAAACAAACAAAAAAAAAAACTTAATATCTTTTACAAAATAAAGCTTATAAAACAGGCAGTGCAGTGGCTCAGTTGGTAGAGCTGTTGCCTCTCAGCGAGAAGGTCGCCGCCAGATCAAATCCCGGTCCAGAACTTTTCTGGGTGGAGTTTGCATGTTCTCTCCGTGCATGCATGGGTTTTCTCCGGGTACTCCGATTTCATCCCACAGACCAAAAACATGCACGTTAGGCTGATTGGTAACTCTAAATTGTCCCTAGGTGTGAGTGAGAGAGTGAATGATTGTTTGTCTCTATGTGTCCCTGTGATGGACTGGAGACATGTCCAGGGTGTCCCCTGCCTCTCGCAGTGATTGCTGGACATGGGCACCAGTGATCCCCGTGACCCGAAAAGGAAGAAGCAGGCAAAGATAATGGATGGATGGATAGCTTCTAAAGCAGTATTGGACTGACATTTGTGATAATTTTGACCTTTAAATTTTTTTTAAAAAGGTCTAAATTTCTTCCCTCTCATCTCACCTTGTTGACAACGGTCCTGTTCTGCAGGCTGTTGTGGAATGGGTCTCTGGTGAGACAGGCGGTTACAGACAATATGGGCAGAACACACCTGAAAATGGAACTCAGAACCAGCATTTTGCCCAGCCGTGGATCACACGACATGCAGGCAACCCGCTTGCCTAAAGGCGTCAGGGTCTCTGTGTTGTCCAGAACACCTGTTAAACAGAACATTGTAGTAAATTTATTGCTAGAAAATAATAACATGCATTAACTGATGGGATCACATTTGTTAGTCACTTACCTATCAGTTGAAGATTTTTGACAGCATCCCTCACTGCTCCCTTCTCTGGACTATCCAACACTTGGGACAAGAAATCTCCAGCCTGTACAAAAATATGACACCAATTACTATTAAATAAGACATAGAAATGGGGGGGGGGAGAATCAATTACTCTCATAAAATACCTTGCTGTTAGGACTGTGGATTTTTGCCTGCATTACTAAACTCTCCAGTGGGGTACGCAGGATCTCAGGAACAGGAAAGGGAGTCATCAAATCCAGCTGTTTCCTTGGAAATAGGTGGTAAGACTGTCCTGGCTGACAACGTCCTGCTCTCCCCTTTCTTTGAATCACATTAGAACGAGATACCCAAACTGTGTCCAGGCAGGAAACCTGAAAAACCAAGATGATTTAGTTTTATTGGTAACTAAGATTGTTTAATTTGCTCACAGATTTTGCACAAGTTCATTGAAACACAACCTTTGTTTGAGAGTCATAGTTGTGTTCCTTGTGAGTGCCTGCATCCACCACATGAACAATGTCATCTATTGTAATGGAGGTCTCAGCAATGTTAGTGGCGAGCACAATCTTCCTCTGGCCCACAGGGGGACGCTGGAACACAGTCTGCTGGTCGGCCACCGATAAGCTGGAGTGCACTGGAATTCAAATGGAGACCATTATAAATCCACTGTAGCTGCAGAAGACAATTCCAGATCAGCTTTATATTTTTTGGCATTTTCTTACATGGCAGGATCATGTGCGAGCCTGAGGAAAAGCGGGGTTTTACTTCAAGTTTTTCTTGAACTGATCTGATCTCCTGCCATCCGGGGAGGAAACACAGCACCGCACCTGTAGAATGAAAGAAAATGAAGTATGACTGACGCTCAGTTTGTAAAATATATATATATTTTTTTAAAACAATAAGACATTATGGTTTAAGAGAGAGTGTCAAGATACCTGGCTCTCCGTGTCTGTCAATGTGCTCTATAACATCAGCTACTAAATCAACATCTGGTGAGGCCTCATCCATTTTCTACTTTAACAAGACCAGATACAAAGTCACGAGACAAAATTAAAATACAGTAAATACACTAAAACGGAACAATAAATAAGTGCCTCATTGAATGAAAAGTGACCTCGTATATTTTTCACCTGTTTGTTCATCTCCATTATAAAGTCATCTAAAGGTGCACGTCTCATTTCCCTCAGCACATCCTCCAGGTATTTGTCTTTTACCGGGTGCATAAATCCTGGGACCTTTACAATTGGACAGCCTCCAAAGTACTCGGCAAGCCTCTGGTTGTCCCCAGTGGCACTCATGAGCACAACTCGTAAGTCAGGATTCTCCTCCAAGCTGGAGCGCAGCAAGGCCAGCAGCAAGTCTGTGTTTATGTCCCTCTCATGGACCTCATCCACCACAACATGACTGATTCCTTTCAGGGTTGGGTTTGACTGCAACTTCTTCAGCAGGACGCCAACTGTGAGGAAAAGCATGGATCCTCCACTCTGCTCTGGGGGCCGACTCTCAAGTCTTACCTAAGTACAGAGAAGAGTCAGTGATTTAGTCATAAGTATCGCCTTCGTTTTACCTCAACATATTTGACTGGATGCTTCAAATGCTTTTAAAAAGTTAAAAATCAATAGCATAACTTTTAGTCAAGTTAGAAGGAAAAGCTGAGCTCAATACTTCTTCATAAAGTACTACATTCCAGATATCTAAATCCCCAAGAAAGCCATTTACTTAACTTGGGCTAAAACACAATTCAAACATATAATCTCTTCAAGTTGTAAACAGATTAGGAATAAAAAACAGCAGAAAAATCTTCAAAACTTCTAATTCTTTCAGCTCTAATTGACATCACATCAACTGTAATCCATCAACTTGTTTTCACCTGATATCCCACGTGGTGTTTAAGCTGTGGACCCATCTCATGAGCAACACGGTGAGCCACAGACACAGCACTGATCCGTCGAGGCTGGGTCACCAGGACGTTGCACTCAGCACCCTCCCCACCTCGTACATGGTCCTCCAGCAGGAACCGTGGGATACGCGTCGTTTTTCCACATCCCGTCTCACCTGCGATAACAACCACCCTAGAAGAGCGCACAACTGAGACTACATGCTGACGGTGAGCATCGACTGGCAGCTCCACGCTTAGTCCAGGCCTCGAGTTTTCCCACTCCTGTTGCAGACGGAGGTTGTGCATCTGAGCCCGTTGCTCGGACAGAGCCCTGTATGGTCTGCCAGTAATAGCATCTGTTACAATGTCCTCCTCTTCATCATCGTCCTGGTTCACAGTTTGTTGCCCCCTTTCCTCGTCTTCCTCCCATACTTTCTGTACTTCAGTTGCCATTGGGTACTGAGGGGAAAAAAAAAGAAAAAAAAAAAGACTTTGTTGCGTTATTGGTTTAATGATGCAATCTATGGCCCAAGTAAAAATTTCTAGCATAAAAATGTCTCAAAACAGACAAGACCAAAAATGAGCCTTAATGGTGAACAAAAGTGTTTGGCTTACTAACATGTGCTTATAAATTTTGTCCAGTACCAGACGTATGGAAGGAGAACTAACCTGCTCAAGATACTCTCTCATTTTTTGTTCCAGATATTCTGGGATTTCCAGAGGAAGTGGACGTCTCGCCCTCTCTCCAGCCTCCCGTACCATCTCGCGATGGTATTTAGCATGAGCCAGTGGGTTGTTGTCTTTATCCAAAAGCTCAAGCTCCTGCATCAAGCAGCATGAAAACATACTTTAACATAGTTATGATGAGTAGGGGAAGCCAAATCAGTTCACCAAAGCTCTTCTCACCTTCAACTTCATGCAAGCAAGTGCTGCAACTTTTTTTTCTGCCATTACTCGCCTGGTTGCCACCGCTGTGAATGTCATCTTCTCAGGCCAAAGCATTGTCAGCTCACACTTCTTTAGCTTACCTCCTAGTGTTTTGTACTGCAGCATCTCCTGCAGTAATAGATTACAAAGTAGCTGAAAAACTGCTGAAATTTTTAAGTCAGAAGCAATAAATGTAGAGAAAGGAAATACATCTACTAACGCTAATTCTACTGGATGACGTGGCCACCTGGACGACCCTCGTTAGGAGAGATTTGGGCTGTGGAAACAGAGCAAGAGCTTCAGAGACATCAGGGGGGTCTTCAGGATGCGAGCGTTTATCTGCCCTGACGATACGATCTTCCCAACTCGTGTCCTCATCATGAAGAAGGGGATGTAGACGTGCTCTCGTCTGGCCAGCCTTTCTCTTGGGAATCGGATTATTTGGATCAATCACACCCATTTCCTATGCAACAATTTAGAAACATAAAATAAAATTCAAGACTGGCAAGATAAAATTCAAGTAGGTGATAACTGCTAAAGTAGCTTACCCTGAGTCTGTGGCAAGCAGCTGCAGCAGCTAATCGCTCTGCAGTGATCTTCTTGGATGCATATCCCTGCTCTTCAATCTTGCATGGCCACTGCAACGTGACAGTAACCTTCTACAGAAACACAGTTACAAGACAAACTTAGGCACAAAAAGCACAGAGGTAGAAGATGCGACGCCATGATGATGCAAACTGCTCTGACCTTGACACCAGCTTGTTCCGTACATCTGTACTGGATGAGGTGGGACACGTCACTCACTCCAAGTGAGCGACAAATGGTGGTGGTCAAGAAGCTTTTAGGGTTTGGAAACTCCTTCAGGAGGTCGTCCTGATCTAATTATTAAACCAAAAGTCAGCCACCCCCCCAAAAAAACAATAATAAAAAAAACATGTTTATTAGTCGCTCTAACCAAATGAAAATAATACTGACAAGACTATTGGAAACATAAATTTTAATAAATATATTTTTGCAGTTAATTTCCATCTTGAACGTCCTTGAGGCCATCCACTGTTAGCTAACCTTAGCTAGCCGGCATACTTTACTCACCTTGTTGATGCTGTAAACACGGCGCGCTTTGTTCCTGAAAGGTTTGAGGTTTCGTCCTGAACCACCGCACATCTCCTCTCCAATTTGATGCTGTTTGTTCTCCTGCATGACCACATTTGGTTAAACTACACAGAGCCCGCAGACGCACGAGTAAATGCCCGGGTAGCGCCATCTTTAAACTACAAATTCTTCTTCTGCGTGTCGGTGCTGCAGGAAGTGAAAACAAAAATCACAGCGCCCCGTCAGGATAGAAGGAGTAATGCAAGTTGTAAATATTTTCTTTGCGACATTGACATTTCTGAAAATTCATAACCGAAAATAAATAAGACAAACTAATATAAATTTGCTAAGCAACCCTTAATTTGTTTTTTTAATATTTTAGACATGTTAAAGCTTTTATGATAAATAAACTAGTAGAAGCCTCTGTTGTTGTGTGACTGAGATAATTTTTATTTTCTGCAGTTTTTTTTTTATTATTATTTTGCACCTGTTTACCCACACCTATCTATTTTATACTGTTTTGAGTTTCCCATTAGCAACATTCTGAATTTGAGTGAAATATAATTCATGTACTTAAATGAACAAACCACTTTAAAACAAAACAAAACAAAAAAAAACCTTTTATCTTATTTTAAACATTTCAATACTAAAAAACACCATGGTTTGAAAATGTGATTTTTTAAAAATATATATACATATATATAATTTTTACTTAGAGAACTATGATAAACATCACCTTCTCTAAGTATCCCTGGGAGCAGAACAGACAACCTACAATTTTTAATAATCTTGACAAAAAGTCAGCCACTGAAATCAACAAGTGGTACTTGACCCCATGCACCAATAAGGAAAAAAGTAAACTACATATGTATGTTTTACATTAAAAGAACAGGCACTTAACTTGTCCAGATGATACAATTTAAAGTTTTTTGTTTTTATACCTGGATGATTGAGCTTACAAACTTTTTTTTAATTTTGCACTTATGTTATACACTTTGTAGGTTCACACTGCTTCCGCCACCTGGAGAAGGGAAGAGAACTCCCAGGATCTGTCTGGTTCTGCCTGGAACTGTTCCTGCAAATAGACCTGCTAGATAATTCAGTTCTTTTGGACAAGCAAGGGATGAAACAGGTAGTTGTGTTTGTGCTGGTTGTCACCACTGGTAAGTTCACCAAAAACTGTTTACAATTCCTAAATAATGTAAAGTAAGCTGACGGTCTTGACTGAATCACAAACTCTTTATACTTTAGGTATCACTTTAAATTTCTTGTCTTATTTTGTGCCTCACTGTGTTAAGTGTCTGGGTGTGGCATGTCCAGCTACCGGCCGGACACCAGCCGTGTGGTGAATGGGGAAGAAGCCCGTCCATACAGCTGGCCGTGGCAGGTCAGAGCAGAAAACAAACATTAAATCATCCATTTGTTTTAATTTACATGCTTGTACAGGGTGTTATTGTTACTTCCATCATCCAGTGAAGTTGTTAGGCCACCGTGCATTATGCTTCTAAACAAAATCTACATTATGTTCAATTATCATTCCTTTCATTTTCTCCTATATTTTAGGTCTCTTTGGAGTCTTTCTATCCCACATGTGGAGGAACACTTATTGCTCCTAACTGGGTCTTAACTGCAGCCCACTGCATCACGTAAGAAAACTGGTAACATTTCAATCTGAGTGAAAAGGAAATTAAAAATATCTGAATTGTTTTGAGAATTTCCCACTGATCAGAAAGCAGGATAAAACTGCCTTGATCCTTCTTTGCATGCTGTACAAAGTAAAAAAAAAAAAAAGTAGGAATATACTTTTTCGTTATAGATTTACAAATACAGCAAAAACAGCAATGAAGGATTATTTGGTTTAAATAAAATTCTAGATAAAAAACATTTTACACATTTATTTAACAAAACTATACAATAATAAACAGCGTACAAAACAGGAGCTTATATATTATCATTCAACAGCAAGCTTATTTTTTATTCATATCTAAAAAAAGAAACTTTGCAAAATGTTTAGGTCTCCTTTTAAAATATGAAAACTGCCGATTGATTTTTTTTTTTACAATGGAGCTCACACTTGCTGATAAGTCAGTCACTGATAAGCATAACTTGGCTGCTGCGTCTTGTCTTTTGGAAGCCATGCAACTTCTTTCACTCTCATTTTCTCCACTCGAGGTAAATTTGTTTGACAGAATAGGTGAAATCTGTTGTTCAACTGAAATTATATGTACTTAACTGCTGGTACAGGGCCTGTTGTGATTTTATTATAATGTGGCAATCCTTAAAATTTAAATTGTGTATTTATTTTTTATTATGACGATACAAAACAGCCAGCTTAAAAAAATAAAAAAAATAAAAAATAATATATATATATTAATGTCCGAACCAGATTCCACACATACAGGGTGGTTCTTGCAGAACATGACATGAACAAAGAAGAGGGACCTGAACAATCCATCATGGTGGAGAAGATGTTCATCCATCCTAAATGGAACGACAACTGTGTTTCCTGTGGGTGAGTTGTCTATTTGGAGTCTGTTCAGCAGAATAAGAAACTATGAGGAAAATACATTGTTTGCAAATATTAATTGAAACTTTAGAAGAAAAAGCTGAAGACTGAAAGCATCCAGTCACTGCCAAAGTGAATTAATGGTTTTGTCATACTTTGCAGGAATGATATTGCTCTGCTTAAATTGGAGAAGAGTGCTGTTGTCAGTGATAAAGTTCAGCCAGCCTGCCTGCCACAGCACGGGGCCTCTCTAAGCCACAACCAGCCCTGTTACATCACCGGCTGGGGTCGTCTCTACTGTAAGAGCAGCTGCTGATCCTCACTTAATGTGAAACAAGCAATCATTCTGAGATGCATTAAATATTATTCATTATCCTCGTAAAGTTAATGAGGCATTTTCTCTGTAGCCGGTGGCCCTCGGGCAGCGACACTCCAGCAGGCGCTGCTTCCTGTGGTGGATTACAGCGTCTGCAGTCAAAGTGACTGGTGGGGCAGTTCTGTTAAAACAACAATGGTCTGTGCAGGAGGAGACAACAAGTCAGCATGTCATGTAAGACACAACCAGTCATCATATTATAATTATGTAGACTGATAATGTAGCTCAGAAATGGAGTATTTCTCTTTAACGCTCAGGGTGACTCTGGCGGCCCTCTGAACTGTGCGGGCAAAGATGGCCGGTGGTACGTTGAAGGAGTGACTAGCTTTGTGGACGGACGTGGATGTAATACACCGAAAAAGCCGACAGTCTTTACCCGGGTGGCCTTCTTCATTCCCTGGATCCATGAGGTGAGGGAAACATCCCTAAACCCCAAAATGAAACACACAAGTAAACAATCTTAACTGTGTTAAATTTTCTTATAGACAATCGGCCAAAACTGAGGAAACCTTCACAAGTCAAGAAGTTAGGACGTAAATAAACTGTATAATAAGCTCTGCGTGAATTTGTGAGTTTTTGAGATTATAATACAGAGTCAGTAAATAAACGAATTAACATTTTAATCTTTTTAATCAATCAGCTAAAATCTTGGTAACATTTTAAGTTTTGTAAATACATTTGAAAGGATGTAGTAATACGTAATGGGAAATTGTAGTTAAATTTCAGTCTAAGCGATGAAGTAATTACTGCATTACAAGAACATAAGACCAGGCCAAGGTGACTTCAGATTAACAGCAGCAAATAAAGTTGTGTATTACAGAAATCCTTCTCCTTCAGAAACTTTTTTTTTTTTTTAGAGTAAATCATTGCAGCAAAAACTCATAAGTCTGAGGGTGTCCAGTTGAAGAAGTCAATTTTCCGCAGCTCCTCGGGTAAGTACTCCTGCTCAACAGGGCTGCTGAACTCCGGGTTGTATTTGTAGCCTTTAGCATAGCCGAGCTGCTTCATCAGTTTGGTGGGGGCATTTCGGAGGTGCAAGGGGACGGGAGGCAGGGGGCCTTTGTGGTTTCTCAGACAGGCCTTTACGTTGGCATAGGCCTTGTAGATCTCCACTGACTTGGGCGCTCGTGCAAGGTAGACGACACACTGGGCCAGGATCACCTGGTACAGAGAATAATCTTTGTAAAAACAAACAAGAAAACGAGTTACTTATTAGTCAGGTGAGCTTACCTCACATTCAGGCATCCCAATGAAGTGACAAGCCTGGAAGGCGGAAACAGCCTGAGGAAGGGCGGCGGGATCTGCCAGACCTGAGAAAAACAACACAAAACATACCCAACACTTTGAAATTGTTTATTTGTACTTCATCTGTCCAAAAAAGTGTCAAAGTCTTCTTCAGTAAATAAAACGGGTTAAGGATAGTAGATATAAATACTTCTAGAAGTGTGGAAAAGCCTGTTTTTTCCAATAAAGCTGGAATGATGCGATATCTATATATTACGCACCCACATCCTCACTGGCGAAGCGGACCAGTCTGCGAGCCACATAGAGCGGATCTTCGCCGCCCTCCAGCATGCGGCCCAGCCAGTAGAGAGACGCGCTCTCATGGGAGCCTCTCATGGATTTATGCAGCGCCGAGATACAGTTGTAATGCTCCTCACCTTTGAGTGAAACACACACACATGAACACATGTAGCAAGGAAAGATTAAGGTTAATACATATTATCTGATCATTTAAAAAGCTGGAATATGAACAAAATATATAAAAAAAACTGATAATTTCTGGTTTTGTAAGACCTTGTTGAAGCTGAAGTAGAATTTTATCACTTTGAGAGGCAGAGGACAGTAAATCTTGATCTTTTAGGACAGCTGAGCATTATGTTAAAAGTCTGCATGTAGGAAACTTTGGATGTTTCATATTAATAAACACAATGCTGATAAATGTTTTGACTCAGAGAACAAAGCAAACATGAACTCTGAATCAGTTAGCTTCCATGGCTATAAAGTTACCAAACTATTATTAGATTTTTAATTTTTTTAATGACAATACCATCAAGTTTAGGATCAGGTTTGGTTTATCATCATATGCAGCTCAACACAAGGTCAACAATGCAATGAAACGCTGAGGACGAGAAGAACCGTCTGGACTCGCCAAAAATACAAAAACATGGCGCCAAAAGTGAAAAAGAAAAACATCTACAGCAGCATGGTCCTATCAGCAGAGTGGTTCTGTCGGCAGTGAGGTTCTCTTAGCAACACGGTCTCGTTAGCAGCATGGTACTGTTAGCAGTGTGGTTCGGTTAGCGGCGTGGTCTTGTTAGCAGCGTTAGCAGGTCCCGTTAGCATGATGATAGTAACGACAACAGCAACTGCCCTCCAGAACCGGGTCCAGCAGACAGAGAACATCCAAGGTTTCCCCGCAGAACTGAATGGATCCGTTGAGTTTGGTTCGTGTAGGCAGATGGAGGATCATGGAGACGGCAGCCATGACAGGCATCCCTAAGCCCGAAGCTGGAAGGGGGCCGGGAACTGAACCACGATGGCAGGATGGAAAGGCAGCGACACACAAAATTCCACAAGTGTGTCGCAGTAATGCCCATAGCGTGGATGTGCAGTGTAGGCGTACGAAGTTAAAACAAAAGCAACAGCAACAAAAAAAGAGCGAGTCGAAGTGGAGCTCCCGTCAGTGCTACCATTCTGCAGCACACTTGAGGTTAATAGCTGATAATAGTCTGAGATGAGTTATAGTTTTTTTGTGATATTTTTTCCCTAAAAGAAGCTGGGGCTTTAATTAAAGGTATGCACGTGCGGTGTTTGAAAATAACGCAACTTATCTCAAGAAAGCGTGAACAGGGCACAAAAATGAGGCCACACTGAGCGATGCTCCCTGATCACTTCATGTAAAAGGCTTTCATTGATCACAAACACCCTGGAATGTGACTGAACTCAAATGTTATTACATAGGTGAAGCAACCAAAAGATGCAGCAATTCTTCATTTTCATGACTTGCCAATTGGTTTACGCTTACGTCTACGTTCTCTTCAGTAACACCGTCTGAAAACATTTTGCAGAAATGCAAGAATTCTGCTCCTGTAATACTAGAAGAAGTACTGAGCTTACCAGCTTTATCATAGAGGATATGGGACCTCTGGAGACCCTCCTTGATATGCTGCTCCGTCACCACCACCTCTTGAGAAGAACCTTCTCGAGTCAAAAGGGTCGAATGTATCGACTTCATCTGAGCCTGTACAGCTAGCTGGAGACTGTTGAGGCCCGTTCTTGCATCACCGTCACAGAGGTAGGCAATGGTGTCCAAAGCCTTTTGTTCAATGTGTATATTTGGTCTGAAAATAAGAAATACAAGATAAACAAAAGGTTCTGTGCATGGATGCATTCAGCCGCTATTAAACAAATGAATTAGCATTTTCTAAAACGACGCCCACAGGCAGAGAAAAGATGTTTTAAAATCACACAACTCTTAAAGGCAGGAGGTTCAGGAAGGAACCTACTCATGTCCACTGGTTCGGACTTGATTCTGGGGATTTGATGGATCTTGTTTCCAGACTTTGATTCCAAGTGTTGCCACAGCTCTGTTCAAAATCAAACCCATTGCCTCCACAGACAGTTTCTCCAGAACCAGAACCCTGCACCGGCTCAGCAGCGCAGCATTCACCTGGAAGGATGGATTCTCAGTGGTTGCTCCAATCAGAGTTACCGTCCCGCACTCCACATGGGGAAGGAAAGTGTCCTGCACATAAGACACACAAGTTAAAGAGAGAAAAAGAGAAGAAAACAACAACAACAACAACAACAACAACAACAACAACAACAACAACAACAACAACAACAACAACCAGACATCCATCCTGCTTGTGTTTAACAAAGAAAAATAAGGCTGGATCCCTAAAATCAGGTTTACATGGAAGAGGATTAGGGCCACGGTGCTGTAATTCTTTTCCCTAAATTCTGAGAGAAAAAGTCTGAATTCTGAGATTAAATTCAGAATTTGAGGAAAATAGTCAGAATTCTGAGATGGGTCAGAATCTATCTAATTCTGACTTTAATCTCAGAATTTTGACTTTTTTTCTCAGAATTAAGGAAAAAAAAAAATTGCACTGTGGCCCTAATCCTCTTTTGTAGGTATAACGGTAAAATTCACAAAAGTCACTGTAGTTCTTTTTACCCAGTGGCAGGGTTTTGCAGCTGGAGTTAGCATTACAAACGTTGATCACGGTACACCGTTTGTGGCTCAACACTTCACCTGCTGGGACTTGTTGAAGCGATGAATTTCATCGATGAACAGGATGGTCTTCCTCTTGCACAGCCTGAGCTCGTTCTGTGCCTGTTTGATCACCTCTCGGACTTCACTGGTGGAAGTACTGGTGGCTGACAGTGTGACGAAACGAGCCGTTCCTCTCTTTTTACTGCTGCTGGCAATTATGTGGGCTAAAGTGGTCTGGAAGAAGAGGGAAAGCAAGACGACAAAACAATACTAGATCAAATACTGCCTCAATAGTAATGACACAAAAAATACTATTACTTGGTGGCTCTGAATAAGACGAAGACATTATGATTATAAATGGAAGTGAAGGCATCTTCATCATCATCTCAGCTGTCACCTGCACACCTTTCCACATCCTGGTGGACCCCACAGGATCAGAGACGGGACCTCCTGGGAGTCCAGGAGTGATCTGATAAGCGTCTGCTGACCCACGACCTTACTTTGACCAAAGTACTCCTCCAGTGTGTTTGGTCTCAGAATCTCTGCCAGAGGTTTGTTAAATGTCAACAATGTCTGTGGCGTTAAATCATTACTTGTCTTCTTCGAAGTCTCACTGCTGGGCACAGATGATGCGGGTTTCCGGTTCAGCAGAGCTTCCATATCACCTGCTGGTCCAGACTCAACTTCTGTCTGCTTAATCCCCTTTCTGTCAGCTCTGATAGGACTTTGTTTACTGGTGAACACACCAGCACTTTCAGTTTGAACGCTAAGTTTCCCGTTGGTCTGAAACAGAGGAAACATTGAGGAGGAGGTGCTGGGAGCAGATTTGTTCACATGCTCCGCACTGATACGCGGTTTCTTCTCAGGAGGAGACCCGCTCTCATCAGCTGCTGACGGACTGTTGTTAGTAGAACTTTCTAGAAGACACACGTCGAGGTGCGCGTTAATTGTCTCTGGTGTGAAGTCCTTAAAACAAACAGGACACTGCAGAGACTCCCGGACTAGAGGACGCGGTTTGGTCGCCATGTTGTTTCCCGCGAAAATGCTGTTTTGACCCCAAATCACGTGACCAAATACGGCTTGGCTACAGACTTTTAGATTTAAAAAACAAAAATCTCTCTCCTTCTCTCTCTGAACAGCTGGAACAAAATTCAACTGTTAGCGGATGAAAAATTGCGTTTCCGTTTCTGTTTTTTTTTTTGTATTTTTTTTTTCCCCAGCAAGACTTTCTTCCTGTTTCCTGTTTGGGTGCATTTAAGGACTGATAAGATTGTCCGGAATCTGAGATTTCGTATTTCAACGTTATTAAGAATGAACTTGGTTGTTTCATAACGTTGTAAAATTAGTTTATATTTTAACTTGCCTGTTGTGTATTATTTTTTCTAGTTTTGTGCTCACAGGCAAAAACAAACAGGAAACATATCCCATGTATTTTATTATAAATCCACGATTTAACTTACACCATAATGCCACTTGCCATGATAGACTTTTATCACTGTATGTTATTCAATATGTTGAGTAGTTTTAATGGCCTGTAGGACTTACTGATTAATTATCTTCTCTCAGGTGAATGTTGTGTTATTTTTACAGTACAACTATGCATCAAAGTTTTTCAATGTTTACAACACACCCCCACACACCCCCACACCCCC